CACAGTCTGATTATGTTTTTTCTTTTTTTTTTTTTTTTTTTACATTACTGTACAATAGCAGGAGGAGATGAGGGTCCAGCAGAGTTAGTAAGGGGGTCGGTATATATGGTGGTCACACGAAGACAGGCAGACAAACAAACAGGACGAAGCCTGAGCTACATGTTTCCCACTAGATACTGAGCAGAATACCTTCTTCTTTCGTCTTTCAGCAAGCAAAATCCTATTTTTCATTTATTTATTTTAATTTAGTGAAGCTAATCAAGAGATTTAGAAAGAGGATGATACTTCCTGCTTTTGTTTTGCCTTAATATTAAAAAAAAACGTAGTAAAATACCCCTTATGACTGGAATGATTGGTGTTAAAATATCCACAGTTATTCGATATAGGAGATTAGCCAGGATGCATTTCTCTAAGCTTTTCTGTACAAAAGGCTGGATCACAATGTGTGCTTGTTTCAGAATGTCCATGGTGCTTCTTTGCATTTAATTATGTGCTCTTATTTCTCTTATTGTTGCTCTATTAACACGCTTCTTTTTTTTTTTTTTTTCTGTTTGGGCATCTTGGTCTTGTGTTTCTCTCCCTCTATTTAAATATTGTCAGCATTACTCCATCTTGTGGTCTGTTGGAGTAACTGCATTCCCAAATTAAAAACTATCCTTGTGTGCAAATATAGTCCAAGCTTTTGGACGTCTTCCTGTGAAGCAAAACGGCGACTTTCACAGAGAGGTTCACCATTTCTAGATATGCGTTTAGTTGTGCTAGACTCAGCCAAAGATCAAAGTAAATGTTTTTTCTGATAAGAAGATTGTATTAGCCTTGCTTAACTTTGCATAAAGATTAACAGTAGGCACATAATTTGTGTCCAAAACGCCTTTAAAAAATGATCATTCTATATTTTTGCTACGCAAAACTGTTAGCTAGTGTAAGTGTTGCTAGGCTGTCAGTTCAGTTCGACGATGCAGTTTTTTTTTAAGTAACAACAAAAATAAAAGAAGTTATAAAAATGGGCCGTTTTGTGATTCTCATGGTATTTAAAACCTTAACCTAAAAATGCCACAGATTCACGGTATTAATTAAAATAATGTAAGTATAAGTTTATACCATGGCCTAACCGCTTCATTTAAAACAGAAAAGATCAAATTTTCCTCTCTAAAGAAATACATAAAATAACTTTGATTCTTAATGCATTAACAATATTTATGATATTAATTTAGTTTGATTTTGATACACAGATTTAAGCCATACCATATATAAAACATACCAACTAAGTTTAGCAGTGGTATTCATTTCATGAGAAGAATGTTATAAATTTGTTAGCATTTTGCTCTTTATAGATGGTGGACCTCCAGTTAAAACTGCCTGTTTTTTGTTTTTAGTTTAAGCACCAAATATCTCTTAACAAGCAGAATAATCTGTAAATATGTGAATCCATAAATACTGAACCACAAGCAGGAAAACAGCTAGCTGGTATTAGCCAGCTAGTTAATTAGCTATCTCATTTGATACCTAGCCTGTAGTTGGCTGATTAAAACTTTAAAAAGAGTGAAGGATGGTGTACTTTTAGTTTCTACAACTAAAAGCTGGCTATTTTGTCAGCCAGAAATTTTTCCAGACAATTTGTTGGCCTTACAAGTAAGGGGGAAGTGTAGTAGCTTTTTTTTCCAGCAAGCTAAAAACTGTGCGCCTCTGTGTCAGTTTTTGCTTCATGCAAACTCCAGTCACTAGGAATTTCTTGGGCACTACAAAAAACTTTTTTTTTTTTTACTGAATGCCAAACAGTTTTTGGGTTTTTGAACATAATTTTTTTTAATCCTAGGTGTACTTTGAAACCGGCCCATGCATAGTTACAGCAAGGTAGCAAAACGGTTTGAGTTATTTTTGCCTCAGAAGCAGAAATTTAGCTCTGAACTTTTGGTCTCACCTCAGTTGAGACCGTTTCAAATTGTTTTGCAAGTTGTTTTAGGGCAACTTCTATTGGCAAAGCAAGTTAATACTAACATTTCTGTCTCCATTTAAGTACTGAAATGTCACATTCACGTACAGGGATTGTACAGTATTAAGTGCGCTGTGAATTTGTAGGGAATGTTAAAAGTGCAAATTATTTATCCTCGCTATTTAACGTTACATATGAACAGCAGCCAAATCAATCAAATCTGAGGGTGGCTGGGGATCTATGATATTTAATGTCATAAATCCAACTTGAGTATTCTCAATTCAGAGTACAGTACTGCTCAAAAGTGTTACTCGGTAGTAGGTGGTGTCAAAATTTTTGTTACCTAATTTGTTCACTTCTTACGCTAAATCAAGCTAACTGGCAGTGCGATGTTTGCAGCTACTTCCGACCAGGAAGTAGTCTCTTTCTACATAGGAATGTATAATAACTCTGGACTTGAAGTTCAAACATGTTCTCAGCGCTCGCTGAAGCATAACAGTCGTAAAAACGTATGTGTCAACCTGAGGAAACAACGTCACGGTTAATGTAATCTATTAAAAAAAGTGGTCTCTGCTAATGAAACCAAAACCATTTCACCATGCGGAGTCACAAAATGGCTTTGTAAAGTTTCTGACGTAGAGATGTGTGGATGGGGTATATTTATAAGTCCCACGAGGGTCGGTTCTGCCTTTATAAACGCCACGCGACTCGCCGCTGAACCGGACATTAAACACTCAGCCCACGACCTGCATCAGAAAGAGGTCTCTCCAGTCCAAGAAGAGGAAACCAGGTAAACATGGTTAATCACAAATCTATAGCTTTAACGTTTTGTACAAAATAAACATATACCGTCTTTATTATTATTATTATTATTATTTACTAAGTTACTTTACAATGAGAAGTAAAAAGACGACATCTACAGAGAGAACAATAACCGTCGCAGCTACATAGAAAACTACAGATTTCACTGCAGAGTTTTAGTCTGTTGTCTTCCGGGAAACAAGCGGCATCTCTCTGCCTTTTGCTTCTCTAACAGCTTGGCTCAGAGCTTGAAAACAAAGAATCTCGTAATACACTTAAGGGTTCCGCAGACGCCAAAGGACCAACACGTACCGCGTCGGTTTCTAAATCGTAACATGTGCCACACCCATGTAACTCAGGTTGCATGCCAGACGGGGGCAGACGACTATAGTACACGGGTTTTCCTTCAGAGACCACATCCTGAGATGCACTTCACTCAAAAACAATGCCTGGAAGACTTAAGAAGAGATGGCACTTCAGTTTGTATTCTGAGAGTTGCATCCACTCGCTTTGCGTGCATATGTGGGTGTTTTCAGACAGCGAGTAAAATTCGGTGGTTTTAGTACCTGTAACAGTTTCCACAGGCAGGGGGCCGCAGAGTTTACCTTCACTTGGACCCTGAGAAATGGGGCAATAGGACCTCTTCTATCAAAAATGAAGCAAAAATGCTTGTGAGAATGAAAAGACAGCGTTACAGTACAATTCAGTGTTATTATATATATATTTTTTTAAATCTAAGCAGCTTTAGTGAAAAACAAAGTAACTACTGGGGAAATTCCCGCAGAAGATCAGTCTCAAGTGCCGTTCATATTCTTGGGTGCAGTTAAATATTTGTGCTCTGTGTGGTTCATTTGAAGAATAAGCAGCATAAGAAAACAAGAGGCTTAGTCCTAAACTGAAATCAACTAAGTCTGAGGTCACTGTGTGCTGTGGAAAATGCTGTATTTAGAGTCTATGTACGGAAGGCCAAACCTGCCATAGTCAGTGAGAACAGAAATCAGATAAATGGCTCAATAGAGCAATTAATGGACTGAAAAAATCCAACAAAAATGATTGAGATATTTGAATTTTTTTTTACAGCATAATAAAATGGCTAAAAAAAAAAAAGGTTGAGTAATAATTCATGTTATCATCCCTCCTTTTTATTTGGAGAATTTTCACTTCATGCTTATTTTCTTAGTTATTTATTCCTTAGACATGCTTATTATTATTTATTTAATTTCAAAAGATTCACTTTTCATTGATAACTTGTTTTTTTTTTTAATCACTGGTCACTGTCAAAAAAAGTAAAAAAAAAAAAAGGAAATAAATGATCGTATGCCAATGATAAATCTTTGAAGAACAAAATTGGTCGACATATATTTTAAAAAAAATGTAATCATATTCAACACTTTAGAGAGAAAAAATAAATGCATGTAACAAGTAAATGAATTGAAAAATTAAAAACGCATAAGTGTGTAAATGAATATATTTGTAACAGAATTAAATAAAATGACCTGAATTATTACAAATATTTAATATTTTGACAGCTAGAAAAATCCTATTTATGGGACTTTTTACGCCATCATAGATTTGTTGCCATATTAGTTGATTTACTGGGCCATTTCTTTCTTTCCGTTTGAGTAAAGCAGGTTCGATCCTTCACGTCTCCTAGCGCGATTCTGTGTGTCCGCCTCTTTTTCTAGCGCGATTCTGTGTGTCCGCCTCTTTTTCTAGCGCGATTCTGTGTGTCCGCCTCTTTTTCTGGCTGCAGAACGAAGCTCATTTCCATTTTTTCCGTGTCAGATGCCAGTGCCGACACGGTTCGCTGTTCCCCCCCCAACCCCCCTCTATGCTACAGCACCACATCAGGTCTCCGGCTGTCCGACAGCCGCCACTGCGAAGCCGTCCGTCCCGAACGAACATGGCCGACCGAAGTCCAGAGAACGGCGCGCTTCTCTTTGTGACTGCATGCACGAAACGAGCACATGCAGCTCCACGATCTACTGTACCTCTAACTGCTGATGATGAGGATGACATTTACAAGTTTTACACCACAAAAAAAAAGAAAAAAAGGAAAAAAAAATGAAAGGAAAGGAAGAACAAACTTCATTGTTAAATCATGCGGAACAAATTAATAACTCACTCCCGGCACACATAAACGCACGCTAACACGCTCGTAGCACACATGCAGACCGTTTGGAAGATGACACCAAATTCCTTGATCCTTTCACTATTTTTTTTCTTCTTCTTCGTTTGTCTAGAGATAACACGCAGACAGATAGAAGAGGTTAGGATAGATATAATAAGCCCTTACAATATGTAAAGGTCTCCAGCGAATGGGATCTCCCCCACAGAAGACTGCGGGAAAGTAGGGTGAGGATGGAGGAGAAGTGAGGAGAAGGGAGGAAGAGAAGGAGGAGACGGTGGCCCAGTAGCACTGACAGAGAGAGGCGGCGTCTATGCACTGGGGTTGGGGTTGTTGTGTGTGTTGGTGGAGCCGTTGCTTCCCTGGATGGTGAGGCTGATCTCATCTTTCTTCTCCGTCTCCTTTGCTTTCTCCTCCTCCTTGTGCTCTTCTCTTAGCTCCTCCTTCTCCTTCTCTTTCTCTTTCTCTTTCTCCTTCTCCTTCTCCTTCAGGGGCCGGGCCTCGATGGTCTCAGCGGGGGCCGCTGGGGCGTAGCGGCCTGTTCTGTGCTCGGCCAGGGCCGGGCCCCACTTTGGATGCGCTTGGCAGGCGTGCTTCAACCGCTGGGAGGAAAAAAGGTGGAGAGGGAGGGACGTAAATGTCAAACGTCAAGCTGGAACCAGAAACTGTAACGCAACAGACCAACACAAAATAGTCTACAATCGAGAACAGTAAGGAGAGCGACAGATTGTAGCTTTGTCTTTTTTCCACTTTTACTCCGATACCCCGTCTATGTACGCTGACAGCTGACATATTACCGTTTTCTTAGGTATAAAAATCCAAAAACAACATTTCTTATTCCTTTCACAGGTTACTTTATGTTGGCCTATGGCACACAGAATTGCACTAAAATTTTTAGAAGTTGGGAAGAGTTTGAAGAGTGCAAAAGATTTTGCAGAGGGCTTTACCTTAGGTTTTGTTGAGCACATTTTATTCTTACTTTTAAAAAGCAGACTCTAAATTAAAACCTGTTTTCCAGCCATGTTACATCACTATTCAGGAAAAGACTCTTCTGGCCTCTCCGGCAACAACTTTGGCTTTCTGTTGTCATCAACACACCAAGCTGATGCACTTGAAGATCACAGCAATCCCCCCAAGCAAAAAAAAACTTTTTATTTGGCTAATTCTAGATTGCAAAACCTCTGCAGCTACAAGGCATCACACGGCACCAAAACAGCTAGTTATTTTATTTTTTTTACTTTAAATGGTTTATTTCCGTTTACTTTTTGCTTTGCAAATTATAACATTTTAGGTTTGACAACTTTCCTATTGAAGCTGAAGAAAACAGCACTCAGATGACTTTTACAAACGTATTAACTTGAAAAACGATGTTTTTTTTTTTGTGTTATTTATTTATGTTTGAGCACAGGTTTCATACTGTACCTCTCTGAAGGTGGCCCCTGGGGACCTGGAAATCTTGTACAGGCCATAAATGGGTATGCAGATCACTGAGGACAGGGCCATGGCGAAGCCGATAGCCAGGGACCAGCCGGGATACACGTAGTCATTGTAAGTGATGGGCTTGTACTGGATGACCGTGAAGATCAGGATGAACTGCAGACACACGGAAAGAAAAACATCAAACACGTCTTATAGCAGCACCTTTACATTTCAGGCAGTTTTAGAGAAATGTAACATAAACTGCACATGAATGTTTTTTTTTTTTTTTTGGTAAAATGTCCTTAGGAATATATACACACACACAATTACATACTTTGCCAATATGACTTTTCATTTGGATTTATTAGTGCAAGAACTTTACCATTCCATTGATTTTCAGCTTTAGTGGCTGAAAACGTATCGAACACTTGATGCTCATTCAATACTTTCTAGAAAAGCCTTTGTTGGTATCAACAGCTTCAAGACGGCTCCTGCACTCTCACAAATATTTAACCCTAGCTTTTAAGATTTATGTCATTTCATCACATAACATTAAAAATAGTTAACCTATTTTAGATCATTTTAATGCAATCAAATAAACTTTACATAAGTGTAATAAAGCCTATTTATTTTAATCACATAATCCTTAGGGTTATGTATTATATTCAGCCAATTTTTGATCACTCAAAGCATTTCACACTAGAGTCACAAACACCCACTGATACGTGGCAAAGGGAAGCTGGAATCGAACCCACAACCTTCCAATCAGAAAGCAACTACGCTACCCATAAAGCCACTGTGGCACATTCATCATGTAGACCTGAGTGTTGGGGAAAGTACATCCTCTTCTTCTTTTACTGACTTAAGACAGGTGGCTGCCAACTTAAAGGGACTTTACTGCCACCTTCTGGTGAAGGACATTGTGTTTGATTCCCCATTTCACTTCAATGAAAACCATGCACATAAAGTTTAAATACCAGAATCCTGCTTGTTTTACAACTTCAATAATTTAGACTTTGTTAGTATAACTCCTAACCCTGTCTTGTGAAAAAATGTGACGCATTCAATACCTCAATACTTATTTCACCCGCTGTGGAACACAAAAACACACAAGAACAAACAAAACAAAGCATTTCATTCTCTCGCAGCACGCAGGAAGTTAAAAATCACAAACCCACAACACCCGAGGTCAGAGGAAGTTTTAACGTGGCGTTTGTAGCCGGGGCATCCTATTATGCGGGTGAAATGCGAAAGAGAACAAAAGTGCCCAAGATGTGACCAGTAATCCACAACAATACATTTCTCAGCTGACAGAGTGGGAATGAAAGGACTAATTTGGCTGTTTGGGAAATACTACTGACTATAGCTCCAAGCTTTGAGAGATTTGGACTGCAAAGAAAAGCAGCGAGCGAGGAGATTAGCCGGAATGTAGGTCAGGTCCCCAACAACTGGTCAACAAGTCAGGAAACGCTTTTCCCTCTCTCTCTCTCTCTCTCTCTCTCTCTCTCTCTCTCTTTCTCTCTCTCTCTCTTTTTTTTTTAAACATCCACTCTACTGAACCACAACGTTACTGGCTTCACATCACTGTGTGTGTGTGTGTGTGTGTGTGTGTGCGCGCGCGTTTGTTTGTAATACCTTGTGGGGACGATTTTCCTGACATATACTACGTTGTGGGGACCAATTGCTCCTTGTGGGGACCGGAGCCTGGTCCCCACAAGGGGAAACCCTGTTTTTGGGTCAGGGGTCAGAGTTAGGGCTAAGGTATGAATTGAGTTTTGGTTAGGGTTAGGGTTAGGTATGTGATGGGTAGGGTTAGGAAAAGGGTAAAGGTAAGGTTTAGGCTGTAGAAATGAATAGAAGTCAATGGAAAGTCCCCACAAAGATAGCAACACAAACGTGTGTGTGAACTTACAGAGATAATGACAGGTGAGATGAATCTCCAGCAGACTTTGAAGAAGAGAGGAGGAGGGAAGCCCAGCATCATCTCAACATCCTTGAAGTAGTTCCTGTGACCTGGAAAGAAGAGGAAAGAAATGTTCATCCAGGAAGACAAGTCTTACAAAGACTCCTATCCTTCATCCTTTTTTTTTTTTTAACAAAACTGTCAGTATCTATTTGTGTGATTTTTTTTTAAGGTTATTCAGGGAACAAAATCTTGATGCATCGATCCTTCTTATCCCCCCTGCCTGTTGATACTCTGTCTATAACTGATCTATATTCCTCAAAGCGTTTCAAACCCCCGGTGCCTTCGCTCAGAATAACAACGACTCTCCTCACACTCCTGCTCAGCTCGGCTGACAGGTTTAGTGGAATCACAGTCCTAATTAGAGGGGAAATGCCCCCGCTGGAAACCGGCGGCGGATGAGTCATCTTTAAAAACAGCCAAACGGTGACTGCAGGTTAATTTACGCGAACAGGGGCTCTGATGAGGCGATTAATTGCTTCAGTGTCGCTACAACTCGTGAAATTCTGACATTTGGCGTTTTAATTAAAAGACGGCGCGTGTCATTTGGTTCGGTCTGATTAGGGAGAAAAATACCAGAAATCTGGGATGTTTAAACAGGACTCATCAATTCACGAGTTGGAACTGTTTTTTGTTTTTTTATATGTGTGTGTGTGTGTGTGTGTGTGCCCAGTTAGAGCTTTCATTCCAGGAATCACATTATTGTTCATGGTCAAAATTACAATGAGGAGTCACACTTTTGGGACTTTGCTGTCTGTGTGCTTTAAGCAGAAAAGAGAATGCTTCACTGGCTTCTTTGTTGTATAGTCCTCTCTTGCAACTTCAACATACGCGGCTCTGTTCTTATTATTAGGATAGAGTGTCTTGCAAAAGTATTTTTACACCTTGAACTTCCTCCCACTTGAACAACAAACAATGTGTTTTGCATCCAGGGCAAAACGTTCAGATTTGGACTTAGGGGACTAGAGCAGCTTCTTAAAAATGTTTGCTGTGTTCTCCTACATGGCCTGTAGCAACAACAACAACAAAATATATATATAATTTTTCGTCCAGCTTTAGATTTCTGCAGCTCCTCCAGACTTATCATGAATTTCTTAGAAACTTTGATAACACTTTATTTGATGGGGTGTGAATAATAATGTCATAATCATGATAAAACGCCTGTTATGAACATTAAGGAGTCTTCATGTTTACTACTGCTGCTGTGAAGTGTCATTCAGTAAATAATGGACTTTTAATGCGTGTTTTAGTACAACGTTCCATTAAAAGTGTCATTATTTATAATGACACAAATGAGACTGTATGACAACGGTCAGACATTCCTCAAGACTCCTTCATGTTCGTAACTGGAGTTATGTTATCTTAATGAGCCAATTTATCCAAAATTGGAAAATTTATATTACGTCACTTTTCCAATTTGTGTAACACTAGGACAGATTAGCAGTGGATTTTCAGATTGCTACGATATTGTCAGATATATTGCGTATTGTGGTAAATCTCTAATATAACAACTAAGGATTTAATTTACAATTAAACTTAAATTAATATATAGTTTTCTGCTGAAATAATTTAGAAGTCCAGCGAACTACAAAAACAAAAACATAAAATACACTGGACATTTTAACAGTATGACCTTATATACACGATAAACTGGATCGTTTAAAGCTTTTGCTTGTGCTGACGCGTTCTCATCTGTTCTGAAACGTGAGACCTGAGTAGCAACGATTAGCTTAGCATAACTAAATAAAAGAGAAAACTTGTCTGTTGGTTTGCATAACAAACAAACAAAACTATTGCTAATAGTAACATGCTGGATAGTATCAGTTAGACTGTCTCAATACTTACCATAGATATACATGATGCAGATACACATGATGCAGGAGATGATGACCAGAGAGAAACTGGCAGCATAGTTGTCCATCAGCAACAACCAATAGATTCCTGCCTGCAAGCAACAAAAAAAAAAAAGAGACTTTGCTAAAACGCGCTTCAAACAGGAGAAAACGTTTAAACACGGCGGCAGCGGCGGCGGCGGCAGCGGCAGCAGGTCTCACCTGCGTGGTGAGCGGGACGCCCAGCAGGAAACCCACAACAGCCACTGAGAGCGTGACCACGGTCTTGTTTCTGATAATCCAGTCTGTGCCGATCTCGTCCACGATGGCTGTCACCAGCGTCTCCAGCAGGCAGAACTGTCGCAAAAAAATAAATAAATAAATAAAAAATACAAGAACAAGGTTTAGGGAGTGAGTTCAAACAGTGGATTAGAAGTGGAAAAGCTCTTGCTCAAATTCATCCCCAACATACTGAGAGTAGATCAAACTGATCCTTGACAGTTCATGGACACACGCTGGCATTTCCTGAGCGGAAGAATGTCGTTCAAACGTTGACAAATTGGTGGGGGAATAATGTTAATGTTGAATATGTGAGTTTGACTATGGAGATTTATAATACCAGCATTTTGTCTACCTGAGAAAAACCTGATTGTAAGCTCTAAATGTATAAAAAAAATACTTAAGAAAACCAACTTTATTAAAAATGTATGTTTATATATCCTAATTTGTGCTCAAAATATCACAATTATGAGTTTAATAATTGTAAAAAATAATAATAATTTTCTAAATCCAATTAAAGAATAACATATGATTAACATTATAAGAATCAGTGCAGTCTCGTGTCGTAAAACTAGTCGTAAAACTGGACAATAATCCAATATAAAACTGTAAACTATTAGGTTTCGTAAAAATAAATAACATATTTTCTATTCTGTTAAAGTTCCAACTTCCACTGATAAAAAAAAAAATGAACTGAAATCTATATAAACTAAGATCTACATTTGGTCTTAGCTCTTGTTCTATCTTTCCCATTTTGAAAGAGACTTTATGTCACCTTATATTTATTTTAATAATCATAAAAAAATAAATGAGTGAAAACAGACACTGTTGTTAAGTTTGTACAAGGAAAGGTTCTGCAAATGCTTTAAGCCAAAGTAAAGCTGTTAAAAAGAAAAATGGAGACTCAAACAAAAACACTAATCTGCTGGTTTACTAGTGTTGTCCTCAACTCCGTCGTTACCTTTCAGTACCCTCTGTTTAAGTTTCATATTTTCATATTTCAATAATAATAATAAAAAACCTTAGCCTGTTCTCACCTGGGTTCCCAGCCCCAGGAGGATGAGCATGAAGAAGAACAGCAGCGACCACAGAGGTGAGATCGGCAGCAGAGTGAGGGCTTCGGGGTACGCCACGAAGGCCAGGCCGGGTCCGTGATCAGCCACTTCGGACACCGGAACGTTCAGGTTGTGTGCCATGAAGCCCAGGATGGAGAAAATGACGAAGCCGGCGTACACACTGGTGGCACAGTTAGTTATGCTGATGATGATGCTGTCTCTGTGTGGCGGAAAAGGAAGGGAAAGACGAAGAGACTTTGGTACATGATGTTCTGATGGTAATGACACTACTTGCAGTTCAGTGTACATTAAGGGTGAATCAATAAAATTGTCTTGTTTGGTTGTAAAACTAATACAAAACAACAAGAGAAGCTCCGAATTGTCCAATAATTTTTCCTTTTTCCTTGAATGGATCAAATCGAACAACTTTCACCACTTTTAATCTACAAAGCTTTTGCTTTGATGAACTTTTTGAGTCGAATCAAAAACTGATAGCTGATAAGGCCTGATTTGTGCATACCCTTGGAAAAAGATTTGGAGTAGAAATGCATAATGTTGGAGTCGATATAGCCGATATGCTGATATACTAAAACTCATTTGATACCAATACCGATATTTTTTTCCTAAACCTACTTACTGAAACTGTGTGTCTTTTTTCTGCTGTGGAATTAAAATGCTGCATTATCTGTCAATTTAGCCTGCTACCAAATGCAAATGCTAAAAAGGAGTCTGAAAATGATGTAAGACTTTCAACTTGCATTATGTTTAATGTCAACACTCAAGCAGTGCACATTTGATGTTATGTGGTGCTGTAGGCACCGTTGTCATGCCTTTTATATCGGTGCTTCTTTTGACAGAATGGCCGATGTCCAATATTCAATTTTACAGCTAATATCAGCCATACCGATACCGTGCCAGCTGAGCTGGTAGGTATCGATTATAACTTTTTAAGTCTGACAATTCTTTAATCCTAAATGCCAGAGTTGAGTTTACTCTGTGGAAAGATTGTACACGTAGTGAGATGAAACGAGTCAGGATGGACGCCTGGTGACAGCTCACTGACTGCTTCTTCTTTTCATCCATTCTCTGTGTTGCATTTACTCAAACTTTCCAGTAGTTCAGGTCCAAAAGGGGAATTGAGCTTTTTTTTCCCTTCTATTTTCCGCTAAAGTTATTGAGGAGGATGTCTTTCAGAACATAAATGCCTGTTTTTTTGTTTGTTTTTTATCTCCCCCCCCTGCGACTGCTCTCTCCTTCACTTTGCACTTCTGCTCATGTGCTGACTGGTGGTGTTAAAGGAGAGCAGTATGTGTCTCTATGGGGCCTGAGCTGCAGAACAAGAAGCTCGTTGGCACCTCCGTGCAGCTGCCTGGGCAGATAATGCTATCTCAAGCTGCTAGAGGAGGAACAAATTATATCTTCAACCTTCCTCTTTGCCCTCTGGAGCCTCTTGGCACCATCACTGTCAACATGTGGGGACAACCTTTGGAAATAAATGACAAGTCCGTTCCTTTTATTGCCCATTTCCTATGTTTGAACCTTCTCCAATGCTGTTTGCTCTCTCTCCCCTGTGCAGAGCAAACCGCCTCTAAGCACAGGCTGAAAACTTACCTCGCTCTGTCAAATAGTTTTAAAGTTATTCTAACTTATTGTGGATAGAGCAGAGGCAGGTGGAGTACCCAAAACTCGTACTCAAGTAAAAGTAGCACAACTTTAACATATAATGCATATTTGTAATAATACCTTTTATGAATCATTACCATTCAATTTCATATTTCTGTTGGGCCAGATAAAACACATTTAAGGTTGTGGTTGAAGAGTGACAAAATGTGGAAGAATAAAAAAATATATATTCAAGGTGTAAGAATATTTTTATAATATTAAACGTTGATAATAACCAGTGATCCTTTGGTAGAAAAATGATTAATACAAGTATCAGAACGTAAGTAATTAAAGTGGGAAGGTTTTATTTTAGAGAGAAAAAAACCCCTCCAACTTTAAACTAAAAAGCTGAATAAATGCATCCCTTCCCACAATGATTACCAGAAGCTATATCCCCTGAATTTACATGTTGCCACGGCAACGTCACTAACAACTTAGCGCACAGACCAAAAGAGAAACACTCCAGACTCGTAGAGAAAAGATGCACATGTCACCCTGCATAATGAGGAGAGACGTGGGCCGCCACTTATCGTGTCATCCTCTGCTTCGGTCATTCTTCCACAGTGAAACTCTGAATGGAGAACGTCTACAAATCCTCACATCCATTCTGTCTATGGAGATCCAAAGATGTAGTCTGGTAGTTTTTACGAGTGTCCTTCAGCTAATTAGATGGAATCCTTTTTTTAAATGGAGCTTAGCTGGTTTGCATTATAAAAAGACAAAAAAATAAAAAATACTGCAAAATATTGAAATTTGCTGCTAAGGGTGGACCAGACATTTGTAAGGTTTGTGGGGCAACGGGGCCATGTTGGTTTGGATTTTTTTTTCTCCATTAATTATAAAACACATAAATTTAAAAACTGTCTTATGTGCTTATTTGTGTTGGTTTGATGTTCTGAAATAAGGAAGTGTGACAAACGTGAAAAAAAAAAGTCCGTCAAGAAAGTGGCAAACACTTTTTCACACCATGGTAGGACAACAGCAGATTTTTTTCATACTGAGTAGGTGTTTCACTCAGGAAGATGACTGATGTTACACCACCTCCAACCTCCATTTCCTGTTTAAATTATAATCATCTGTAAGTAACGAACCAATTATAGTTATTTTTGGGATGGTAAAAATCCAAGTTCAGCAGGAAACAAGAACCTTCAAAATCCTGAAATGTCCCTTTAACGCAGTTGCAAGTGAATTTTAGTACTTCAGATAAAGTCTCCATGTACCGTTTTTACACTTGTGCTGGACTTTGAATTCATTTTTTAAAAATTACGGCACCACCCCTTCAAATCCCGTTTTTCGTCAGTCTTTACCTGAAACAGTTGTTGTGGAATTTGTTATAAGAAGCCATCGTGATGAGACCGCCCCAGGCACAGCCCAGGGAGTAGAAGATCTGCGAGGCAGCGTCTCCCCATACCTGCAGGGAGAAAACCACAAAGAAACAGAGGCAATGCCAGGAAAAACAAAAATAAAACACTTCAATTTAAAATAAATATCTTACAAGTTAGATCAGTACATACCTTTGCATCAAGAACCTTCTGCCACTGTGGAGTCAGGTAGTACTTAATGCCGTTTATCGCGCCGTCCAACGTGATCCCACGGATGAACAGAATAGTCAAAACGACATAAGGGAACGTGGCTGTGAAATACACCACCTGCACACGGACACAGTCGACACGGAAAGCTGATGAAACCGGTTTAAATGCTTCACCTTCTAATACGAGAAACGCTGTGAATTTATACTTGCGACCTGACCTTTCCTGAAGACTTCACGCCCCTGATGAGGCAGAGGAACACCACAAACCAGGACACAGCCAGGCAGCCCAGGATGGGGAGGCGGACCTCCCCGAAGTTTCCTATGTCATCGGAGATGTTCAGTACATAGTGCCTGAAAGGAAAAGTCAGCGAATGATCAAATGGTCGACACGTTTCATTTACTATTGCCCAAATCTGACGTTTCTATATTGTAGGATAACAAAGGAAGCTACCACAAATTAGCTGTTCTCCATCCATGTCTTCTCACATTTTGTTACGCAACAACCAGAAACTTCAATGTGTTTATGCACTTTATTTTTACTGACATTTTCTGTTTCTCAACAGAATATTCTGTTTTATTTCCTGGTACTAGGTCTGGCATTCTACCCAGGCCCCTGAGTTAATGTTTATATGTAAACTGGAGCCAGTAGTTTAACATGTTAATTCAATGGATTAATTACATAGATTTTAACATGTTGAAATGTTTTCAACACATTCATTTTTTTCCCCTTTTTTGCTGGAACCTCTGTATTTGCGTGTTTCTGGTGCTCCTGCAAGCCTGACGGACAAGCAGCGTCCGTTAACAACAGAGAAGTGACTGGGTCCCCAGTGGACCCAGTCACAGTGGACCCAGTCACAGAGAAGTGACTGGGTCCCCAGCGGACCCAGTCACTTCTCTGGGTCCGCTGGGGGTCCGCTTTTGATTCGAAAAACTTTCTGATGGGACGCTGGAGAAGAATATTGTTGCATGTAAGTTGTGGAAAAAGAAGTTTGGCTAAAATTGCGGCTAAAATCGCATCTCAATACAAAACGTATTGCAGCAACGCAGATGTCCCCAATGCTAACAGTAGCGTCAACAGTACACACTTCTAAAGCAGTGTTTCTTTTACGCTTCTGATGAAAATGTGATTCATTTTGATAAATTAATTAAGTACAGACCCTGCAGTTAACTCTATTAAAACTTTATTTCTTTACTCAACAACGGCCTTCTTGTCTTTATTCTATAAAGGATCTGAAATTAAAATCACATAGATGTATTATTATAGATTACTTATAATGTAAATAAAATTGTTTGAGTGCTGGTGAGTCTGAATACAAATCCACAGCCTAACATTTCATACTTTAATTTGCAATTGCAATTTAAAATAATGCGCCACTTTCAGTTTTTCCTTCACATGATTTGTGGCTGTAGCCTGAAGCAGTGGGAAAACATTTCCAAGGGTCTAAATACTTTCGTGAGACGCTGTATGCCACTTGTGCTGATGTTAATCCAACACTGTTCAAATGTTGGCGCACCTTTAGTCACATCTTGTTCAAATATTTGACGGCTGCCCGCAAACACGAGCTGTGTTTAATGCAAGCTTATCTTGCCAGGAGTAATTTCATTTCAACCGGCGTAAATAGAATAATCCTGTAAGGCTCAGTCGCCTGAGCTTAGCTGGTCGGTGTCTTTTACTGTAGTGATGCGTACAGATAAAAGTTGTTCAGTCAGCAAGACGTCTTCGGCATATTAACTGTGGGCTGCTTCGCAAGGCTTTGTGCAATTACATTTGCACAGATGAGAAAGAAAAACACAAATTTCTCTCTCTGCATCAGAAAAAAAAACCTTTGTGATCTTAGTTTGAATTTGCAGCAACTCGATCTTACTTCCAGTACTCCTCGCTGGGGCTGGTCCTCTTGGTCCGGTTGACCACCTCCGTCACCCCGGCTACCAGGCTGGTGGTGGCGTTCACCAGGCTGCCGTTCAGCTGGGCGCCGCTGCCGACCACCCCGCTGCAGTCCGGCGTGTTCCAGGGGTTGTTGCAGTACGTCCAGGGCAGCAGGTTCGTCATGGACATGAAGAAGTAGTAGAAGGCGATGCATATGACCACGTTGTAGTAGATCCCGATGTAGGTGGACACCACCATCATGCCGTAACCAACACCTGAACGGGGAGAGGAGAAAAACACAAAAAATAAAAAAACAAAGGCGTGAAACGTCCTGCAGACATGTCGCTCGACATTTTTGCATGAAGAAACAGACACTGTCGGTTTATTACTGACTAGAAATGTCGCGCATTCACAACTTTTCTTTCGTCCCGTTTGCTTAGTTCATTCGCGAAACCAAAAGTTGGACGAAAACACATTTGAACGCTTACCTTTGAACATCGGGCTGATCTTCCAGACACCCAGACAGCCGAGGCTGGCAAACTGACCGAAGGATAACTCGAGAAAGAAGAGAGGGATGCCGCAGAATACCAACATGATGAAGTATGGCAGCATGAAGGCACCTGGGGAGACACACAGGCGAAAACTCAAGATACGGCATTTCATCTGATTTTACAGGTAATTAAAAAGAACTAATTGCATAAAAGCTGCCAGGGAATTTCACGTTAATTGCTATCCAAATAACAGAAGGATCTAGAAGGGAGCAACCGTGAGAGGCAATTTATGCACTGCATCATTAAACATTGCATAAGTAGAAAGAAGGGGTTATAGGGGGGCAAACTGTTGTTAAAGTAAAGCAATTTAGTTATGAGTCAAACTAAGCTTCGTAATTAGTAGGCGGAGGTCTGGTAGTTTGTGACTTTTACAGAACCCAATATCCATTTATTTTTCTTATTGCTAGGTTACCAGAATTAATCAAAGATATATCAAAAATTGCAGATTTCAATCGAACTGCAGCAGCCAGCGTCAGAACGACCTGAAAATGACTCCGCCTATTCGGGTAAAGGTGGAGCCCTGCTCATGTCTGAACATAAAGTTGAAAACAGCTTACGTTTCTCCATAAACTGTAAGCTTTACGGTAGAGTTCAAAGAACTTTATGCTGATTATGGATAGTCTGCCTCCTACTTGCTTCGCAGGATAGAGCAATGCTGACTTCAGAGAAAAATCCATAATGATTTGTAAGGCCACAGACCAACAATTACCACAGGAATCAATTTTCAATTGAGCCCAGAGAGGACTAATTGTAATGCAATATAATTTTAAGGTACTAAAAAAGTTACAGTTTCTGTTGTAAAACAACAAATCACATTTTTCACCCTAAGTGTCAGATTCTACGAGATCATCGCTGCTTACAACGCACAGATTGTGTGAAATATTTACCAAATACCGTAAACTAGCAAAAAAACAAGAAAAAAAAAAACATCACAGAAAGTGTCAATTATTTGTTAGGTATTTTTTGCAAATCTTAGCTCTAATCATGTCATTTGTAAAAACCGTCCATGTCAAATGCAAAATGATTTAGAAAATGACTGTAAACCAAAGCAAGATTTTCATTCTTACTCTTACAACCTATTACAAGTTTGTACGAACACATTTGTGCACATATGTAATAATTGTGTTTAATCAGATACATTTTTATTTTTATCAAAGTCCTTTTTTCGGACTAAAACTAATAAGGGAGGAATAATCCTCCAACTTTTGTTCTTAACAACTTTGCATAAACATTCACATCACTTGCTGATTTAAAAATACCAACCCAAATAGGATTCCTCCCCAGCACTGTGGCATCTGCAGATTTATGTTTGAACGTAGTCAAAAACTGGTGACTGTAGTTGGAAATATATTTGTCTTTGTAAATTTGCAATTGGATATTTGGGGGAGGAACTCATATTTAGATAGTGAAATGTGGAGTTAATAGCACATTTTAGTGGACTTAGAGCTACATGTCCGAATGTGACTGCTTGTCCACTTTATTAAGAATAAAATTCAATTTTGGTCTCAAGCACTATTCTTGACATTTATCTCCCTGGAAACATTGCTGAGATATGTTTGTGACAACAGATTCAACAGGATCCAAATTCAAAAACAGAATCCAAACAGGAACCAAAAAAAACAAAAAAAAAATTTCCCAACTTTATCCTATTAATTTCTTCAAGTTGATGAACCAGGTACGTGTTAATTACAAGTTGACTGGTTTTACTTTTGAAAAGAAATCAAACCTGTATCTTCTACTTAGCAGGAATACATAGCACTCCAAGTAAAGGAAAACAGAGCAAGTAAGCAAAGCTAAACCTCATCTGTGTTGAGAACATGTCATGAAGGGTCAGTAAATGTCCAGCTGAGGCCGTCCAGCCGTGCTCAAGCAGAAATTAGACGGCCAACCTTGAGAAGCATCTGTATGTGTGTTTTCGGGTGTAATTTGTCGTACCAGCTGATCCAGGACAAAGTTAGAAACCTCGTCACTACGGCTAAAGAGTCGGCCATCTTCTGCATGCTACACAACATCTACCGGCAGATGCAGAGCCAGGGCATGTGAACGTAGCTCTCTACCAGGATCCCACCTGTGCGTCAAATACACGACTGCTAAACAATCTAGGAGTGAAAGTTTGTGGCTGTAATTGTGATTAAATTCACTTTATACACTGGTTAGTTGACTTCTGGACTGGTTCTGCTGGATTTTGTTTACTGATATCAGGGTAAAGGAGCTACTTACACGTGTACACCACACTTTTCAGATTTCTTTTTTTTATGTTAAAATTAAAAAGAATACTAAACAGTGTTAATTCCACTTTAAAAACAAATGTGTGTGGGTCTAGCAAGAGAATCCAAACAAAAAATTAAATGTGAAGCTTGCTGGACTAATTTGGCATGTTTTGTAAAAGGAAAGAAAAAAAAAAGTGAATATTTTTTACAAGGTAATGCTTCTGTAACAGAATCGACACATTGGGCATGTTTGAAGTGCTGTGGTTAAATTGTAAAGGATGAAAATGGAGATTAAATGAAATTAGGAAATTTTAATTAATTGTCTTTCAATCTTCTATAACATATACTCCACAGTTTGGTCCTTATCCTCTTCTCTCTGCAACATTCCTGACAGATTACTGTCCAATAAAAGCCACTGGCACTGAAAAAATTCTTTTAAAAAATTATTTAAAACAAGGTATTTCTAAACTTTAAAGCAAAAATTTCTCTCTAAAAAAACCCAACAACAAAAAAGCTAGCTAACTAGCTAGCAATGGGTTTTTTTCAGCAGCTAGTTAGTGGTAAAAAAACAAACAAAAAAAAACTCTAACCAGCTAACAGAACAAAATGAAGATGTTTCTAATAATGTATTATGTGTGTGAAACTGCTTTTGTAATAAATGTCGTTTTTATGATGTGGACCCCAAGAAGGGTAGCCATTTTTACGGACTCGGCAGTGGCTAAACTTTTGCCTGACAGAAACGTCTCAAGAGAAAAAATAAACTACATATGATATACAAGATTAAATATTCATGCCACCACAAAATTTAAGACCTCTTATTAATCAAAGGGCAAATACAAATTTTAAATGAATTTCAGATATTTTAAGGCCTTTTTAAGGATGTGCGGGCACCCTCTGTAACGCCACTACAGCTTACCTCCTCCATTTCTGTAGCAGAGGTAGGGAAACCTCCAGACGTTGCCCAGACCCACTGCATAGCCCACACTTGTGAGGACAAACTCAATCTGGTTGCCCCAGTTCCCCCTCCGGGAGTTTTCATCCTTCTTCACGGGCTCCCCTGGAACGGCTCCATTCTGTAACAAAGAGAGAGGGAGAGGCACATAGGTGACTTCAGGCTGCAGCGAAAGCAAGTGGCTTTGTGGGATAAGTGTTGCTACAGTGAGTCCAGCAGTTTCATATTTCACATAAAAAAACAAAAAACAAAAAAAACCCTTATTGATCCCATAAATTGGCCTCAGCCTCACTTCTAACAGCTCCAAGACTTTGCTGGGCACATCTGAAGGAGTTATCTTTTTCTCTCAATTGTTCAGCTGAATGTGAAGTTCGGTTATTCAAGTGTCATGGTTATTATCAGACGTTTCTATCTCCTCTGCCCTGAAGTGGAGCATAAGGTGGGCTCGCTGGAGCAGAAAGGATGGGAAGTGAAATCAGTGCCTTTAGAAAAGCCTCCCAGCATCCACTTTGTGCCGCCCTGATTTCCAACTTCTCCTTTGCTCTCCTCCCTCCATCGCTCCATCTGCTGGCATCAGATGGCCGCTCTCCCGTGACCCCTACGCCCCGCACCCTCAGCTGTGAGTCTTGTCGGTCCCGCTTGTGTCTGCGAGCTGCTCACATGACGGCGCTTGTGCCGCTGCTGCATGACAGATAAATACTGCAAACTCCGATCGCCGAGGTAGAGCTCGAGGTGTCGCGCACGGACTGGAAGTAATCCGACATTGACTGACTGAGTTCTGCCGATTCCGTTGAGCAAAAAGCTGCGGCGAAACGGCAAAAAAGGTGAAATTGTCCAAACGAGGGGCCGCAGTGCATGAGCGAAAATGTTTGACTTTAGTGCTTTAGATGGGGAAGAGCTGAAAACGTGTTTAAATATCTCTGCTTCCTCCTCCCAGGTCATTTTTAAACACTAATTTCAGCTTTTCAGTTTCATGGTGTTCAGGCTCGACGACGCGTCAAAGAAAAACAATGTGAGCGCCGAGCCGTTGTCAGGCTGCAGCTGCAATGCGGAGGTGTCGGTGTTGTCAAGGTATCATATCGCTGAGTAAAAATAACCCACTATAATGGTACTTATGCATATATTCATAAAATCACCAGGTAGGTGTTTTCTCTGGCTGTATGGAGAATAATTTACTTGTGACTGTGCACTGCCAATCAGCTGGCAGAAATCAGTCCTGATTCCTAAAACAGAGACAGTGTAAGACTTATCTGTAACTGAATAATTTAGTAAAACAGTAGCAGTGGTGTTAGAAGATTAACAAAACACTTTTTGCTTCTGCACAGCAAGTACTTGACAACTACATTTACGTTTATTCTGCATTTCTGCTCATGTCTCTGTCTTATTAAAAAAAACATTAAAAGTTAACTATAATAATCAGTATGCTGTATCAGTTAGGATATGTTGTCTTTCTTTGCTAAGATCAGATTGTTTCACATTTTCTGTGAAAACACAGAGATACCTTGAATGCTCGCACATAACTCAGAAGTAGTACATTTTCGCTGTTAATAAAGACCTTTTCCCAACAAACACAGCCCCTATAGAGACATCATGTTCATGAGCATGAATTTTTTTTTTTTGCCAAATAGCAACAACCACATAAACAGCTGCCATATTTTCTGGAAAAACCCCCCAAAAAAACCCTCTTGTCTGTGAGTCCAGCTGTTTGAAGGGAAAACAAACACAATTTCTCCGGCTTCCTTGACCTCTGTTTCCACAGGTCTCCGTAATGCAGGTGCGACAGACAGAAAAGATCAGCAAAACAAGCTCTGTCGCTCGGGGGGAGCCTCCGAGTGAGCCGGCGGCTGCAGCGGTGCGTGGGTGGAGACCACCAGCAGCGACGCTGGCGTCGCAGCGGGTGGCGCATTACAACATCTCCGACCCGGAGTTGACTTTGGAAGAGCAAGAAGCGGCGGAGCACACGTGTGCAGCTGTGCGCGCGCTCCCGCAGACATGTCGGCAGTACTGCTTGTGCCGGCCGCGAGCGACCCAGGTGTGGGCGTGCACGGAAAACACACACAGATGCGCAAACACGCGGCGTGGCAGGTTGCACTCGACTCTGCGACAAGACAAACAAGAGCTGGAGACGAAACTCCGGGAATAGCAATGACCCTTCGATCTCTGGTGTTCATTCAACTTGATGTGCCCAAGACAGGCACACACACACACACACACACACACACGCACGCCCACACACAGTGTGTGTGTAGAATCTGAAACGAGTAGCACAGGGACAGAACAGAAAGAAAATGTTGAGTATAGGTGTGCATTTTGTGCTACACAGTGACATTTCAGCTTATAAATTCTGAAACAAACACATCTTTTACTTACACTTTCATGGCTACATGAAAGTCATAAAAATGCTTTCAAGAAGATTATGAAACATTTCTTCTTAAATGTTTCATGTCATCAAACTAATACTATTAACAGACAAAGGAAAGCTGAGTAAAAACTTAAAATTTCAAACAAGAATGTCCTTCAATCCAAACCGATCAGTTGTGCTGAATATTACATAAATTTCATCTGGTGACTGCAGTGTCGTTTCTCCAAACAGCCATGATGTCATATGTGAAACATTTTGCTTCATAACATGTACACAAGTTATATATTAGAAACATCAGAAACGCGCATCTTCACTGGCGCACTCTTTGGAAAACTGAGACACCGTTTGGCCGGAAGATGAAATGTGAAACTTGAAACCTGACCGTACAAATATACATGCTAGAACCTTCGTCAAGTTAGATTTGAATGATTGCTGTAGGATCATTCAAATGTGCAAATCATCATCTGTTGTTGGTCTCTGGTCTGACTGTAATGCATGTCTTCCCATCTCCAGCAATGCATAGAGCTGTGTAATGCACAGCCATGTTTTTTTTTTTATCAGTTACTGCCTGTTTAAATGTGGAGGTCCTGCGATACTGCAACACAGCTAAATCAAGATATCTAAATCTTTTTTTACCCCTTTACAATGGCGTTCCTGCGCTCAGATGTCTACACAAAAGTGATGGTGAAGGAAAGTTAGCTGCAACAAAGAGCTGCTGAAACACTGGACAGTTCTACAATGTTCAAGACAACTATTTTTTTTTCTGCAGGTTTTGTCTGCTTATGATGAAATTGAACTTTTAGCTGTAAAAATCTGCTTACAAGCCAACATTATCACAAAATGATGTCAAAGCAAAGAGCAGGCATGCTAACGTTAGCACTGTGCTAAAACGACGGCTTCACCTGAAAACAAGATGTGAGTTTAGTAAGACATTAAATGAATTCTTTGTAAGTTTGAAAATAGATGGCAAAGCGTTCAGTGATGCTTTATAAAATGTTATCTTAGATATTATGCCCAAGTTAAGTTAGAGTAGCCTAATCAGGGACAAGCAGAAATTCCTCTTGGGACAAAGCAGCCGCATCTTTAAAGAGAAATGCGTTCAGAACACAAGTGCATTATTTTGCTGAACCTTTGAGTTTGTCTGAAAACAGGTGGGCGAATCTGGTAAACTGAAGTCACGATGGACTTTACTGAAATATCGAACTGGGACTCTACTTTAGCAAATGCCTCTTGATTAATGACTGAGATTTGAACCTGGGGAGACATAATCCTGACTTGGACCTTCTTATTAACAAATAAATGTATTTAAGACAATACAATTATGTTGGGTCTGACACAAAAAAAAGAGGAGAAAAGAAAATATTCATAAGATTGTTTTTGAAACAGGTGGCTTTAAGTTGTGCGGCTGGTAAACCCTGAAAAGCCTTTAAATATGTCTGACTCATTCTCCGGCGATAAAGAGCCAACGACTCTCATTTTTACTTAACTGCTATGAAATGAAAAGCGGCACATGTTGAACAGGGATCTCATTAAGACGGACCCAAGGTGATGACTAACTCTGAGCTACGGCAACTAGCTGAACCCTGAGGGTGACATCGGTATCTGACCACGGAGCGTCTCTGTGCCCAGGTGTTGCTAGCCCGCGGCGTTAGCTCCCTGGACCTCCTTGTCAGACATGCAGACGCTCTACTTCCCTCCGTCCATCCACTCCTCTATCACATGGTTCTCCAGGACCATCTGGGCTTTATGTAACCATCAGTCCTCCGCTCTTCTGTCCTTCATTTTAGTCCGTAGCTTTCACCAGATTTCTTTTAAATAACCGCTCTGACCTTGCTCAAACCCATGTCACTTTTGGACATTTCTGCCGTCGTATTAGAGCGTAACAGATAAAACCTAAGAGCAGCTAACAAGACAAACTTCATGAATAACCAGCAGAATTTTTTTTTTTTGACAGATTTCTGCTTTATTATCATCTGCGGTCCCTCGCTAAGTAATAAAAACATTAACTATTAAACATTTTTGTCATGCCGGAGCTATGAACATGAAAGTTTTAATAAGGATTTTTTTTTTTATCTGCAATGTCGTGAAATGAAAAGGTTTTCAAGATACAGATGAAAAAAATGTTGCTTTTTGCAGGACATCTTTACTTTGTAATTACAGCTGCACATCTTTTGTGGTATTTCCACGATTTCTTCTTTTAGAGGGTAATCATTTTTAAGTAATAAAATAAACATCAAGTCTTATCATAGAGTTTCAATCAGATTTAAGCTTAGACTTTAACTGGGATATTCTAACAAACTTTCTTGCCCCTACTCACAAATTGCATAAATATTAAAGGGGTGTTAATAGTTTTACAAAGCTCTGTAAGACCAGCACCTACTAGACAAATCCTGAAAGTGATGTTACAAACATGTACTGGTGTTCAAAGAAGTGATTCGTCCCCCTCATAAACTGATGAACATCACCTAAGATTCGCTCAACTGGTTTCCGACTGCTAAAATTAGACTCGAGCTAAACAGATTGTTATTAAATATTCTGCGAGGGCATTCACACACAGCTTTGAGATCAGCACTCTGCCAAAAAGTCCTGTTACGAACTGTTCCCTCCGCTGAGCTGATCTGGTAAAGAATGCCGCCTCAGAGCCTCGGATGGAAACGCCAGCAAAGCTGCTGATCGGCTCTGTGCACCCGTGCGCCGGGTGTGACATAAGTTGGGATCACAGCAGTTTATCCGGAAGCACGCCATTTTCCAAATATCTG